GTGTTCTGGAAACACAGCCATGGAAAGACAGCTCCACTTGTGATATACAGTATATCCATATTCTCTTCAGTTCCTACAAGAATACAGTCCATGCTTGTTTGTCAAGAAATAATTGTAATTTTTTGCACTCTTCCCTACAGGCTTGATGGAAGATTCCTGACTGAATTCTGCGGCACACCTTTTGCAGAAATACTCAGTAAAAACCTGGGACTGAGACAGCTAAGATTGTCCTTCTACAACGCAAATGAAAGAGCAGTGGAAATACTGTGTGAGGGCCTGAAACATCCAGACTGTAAAGTAGAGAAACTGATGTGAGTGAACAGTGTTTATTTTTCAATTGGATGTGTTTTACTTTCTCTTGAGTGTTTCTGTTCTGGAAATATATCCATGGAAAGACAGTTTCACTTGTGATATATAGCCATATTCTCTTCAATTCCTAGAAGAATACAGTCCATGCTTGTTTTTCAAGAAATAATTATATTATTTCACACTCTTCTCCACAGGTTTGGTGGAAAATTCCATGGTGAATCCTGCAGCAGGCATGTTGCAGAAGTACTCAGCAAAAATCAGAGATTGAGAGACTTAGAATTGTCCTTCTACGATGCAAATGAAAGAGCAGTGGAAATCCTGTGTGAGGGGCTGAAACATCCAGGCTGTAAAGTAGAGAAACTATCGTGAGTGAGCAGTACTTGTTTTGCAGTTTGATCTGTGTTACTTTCCCTTGAGTGTTTCTATTCTGGAAACACAGCCATAGAAAGACAGTTCCATTTGCGATATATAGCCATATTCTCTTCAGTTCCAGAAGAATACAGTCCATGCTTGTTTGTCAAGAAATAATTGTAATTTTTTGCACTCTTCCCTACAGGCTTGATGGAAGATTCCTGGCCAAATCCGGTGGAAGGCCGTTTTCAGAAATACTCAGCAAAAATCAGAGACTGAAAGAATTAACAATTTCCCTCTACGATAGAGGGGACAGAGCAGTGGAAATGCTATGTGAGGGGCTGAAACATCCAGATTGTAAAGTTGAGAAACTGACGTGAGTGAGCAGTGTTTATTTTTCAATTGGATGTGTGTTACTTTCTCTTGAGTGTTTGTGTTCTGGAAACACAGCCATGGAAAGACAATTCCACTTGCGATATATAGCCACATTCTCTTCAGTTCCAACATGAATACAGTCCATGCTTGTTTTTCAAGAAATAATTGTAATTCTTTGCACTCTTC